GCCCCGGCACACGGAGCCTGCCTCGCCTTGCCTCGCCTCGCCTCGCCTCGCCAAACTCGGGCTCGCGTGCCCCGGCGCTGCTATGCCAGCCATCCTGCTCTTCTGGAGCCGCGCGGAGAGGTATGCGCCCGCACCGCGGCGCCATCGGCCTTCCCGGCGCTTCCCTTCCCTCGGGAAGGGCGTTTGCGGCGCCACCGGACCCCGTCTCCGTGGGGACAGGATGGCTCTGGGGTGGGGACTGCCACCTCTCCGGTGTTGGCTCCCCCGGGGATTGATTTTTCCCTGTGGGAAACCTGAAAACCGGTCGCTGGCCGGGGGAGCCTGGTGCTCCCTGTTTCGGGAAGGCTGCGCGTGCGGAGAGGATGCTCCAAAGTTCCCGTGTGCTGGGGGAATGCGGTGGCACTGAGTTTCCTTGGCGCATTTCGGGCGCTGTGTGCGCATGAAGGTGACTTCTCAGAAGTGGGTTTTGTTGCCGGGAGGAGGCACTGTCCCAGTGCCCAGCTCCAGCAAGGGGGGAATTAGGAGCATGACTGGGGGGTTGCTGGAGTCGCTCGATGGGAATGTGGCTTTGAGACCCCCTCTGCGGAGGCGCAGGGGATCAGTGCTGGCACCCGGGAGAAACAGAGGCTCCTGCGAGTCTGAAGGAGAAAGATGGGAAGGTACAAAGTGGTTAACGTTACTTTTTTCCGACTCATGCATCATTGCCGTCCTACTTTTCTCCCTCTCTGATTTGCCTTGCGGGTACAGCAACCTTGACACAATTGAGGCAGTGAGCAAATAATTTCTGGTGAAGCCCAGGGACCCTGGGGTTCTTGTCCTCACTTGCTTTGCCTGCTTTACTGCAGGAGGTGACCCTGCTGGGGATGTGAAGGTAACAGGGTTGCTGAGGGCAGGCGTCTCATGGCGGCTGCAGCTCAGGAAGTGGGAAGGATGCCCGGGCTCCCTGCAGAAACCTCTGCAGGGTGAGGGGCAGCTCGCGGCCCCACTCGAAGAGCCCAGCACTCCTCGATCCAATAAAGCATCGAGACGGCAATTAGAGGAAAATTACTGCTTGTCAAGCGGCTTCCTGAAGGGTCTCTTCCCTGCTCGCTTGGTGGCAGGGAGGGGGTGGTGGAGCGCCGTGAGGACACGTACAATGGAGGGCTGGATTCGCCAAGCGCGGAGCTGCTCTGGGAGCCCCTCCTTGGCCC